ACGCAAACGTAGTGTAACCAGCAGAGAAATGAGTATCGCTCAGCGGGCAGTACAGCAGAAGCCGAAAAGGGCCACTGAGCAACACAGCGGGCGGTTGTCGAAAGAAACATGGAAGGAAGAGATGGGGGAGGGCGACGTAGGGGCGAAGGGAAGAAATGAGCAGAGCAGAACGGGAGGGTGAACATAAACTCACTTGCTGCGTCGTCTGCTGCTTCTGCGTGCGCGAGACGAGCGTCGCGTCCGCTGGCACGGACATTGGGAGCGACCCGTCGGGGCCCGTCACATGCCCGTTTGTCGGGGGAACCAATTCAGACTGGCCACTGCAACAAAGGAGAAAAATACAACGTTATAATCCTGACGTTATGTTAAGAGAGTAAAAACAATTTCATGGAAACGGTGAAACAAGCTTTTCAAACAATAATATTTTTGTCTGTTACAGTTATGTTGCAATAGGTAGTGATACACAAATTTATCGTGGTTGCAAAAATGGGATTAGCTTGCTAAAATTACAGTCGCAAGTCTAGCAAGTAGAATGTGTCCAACTCGGACCAACACCGGCAGCTAGCAAGCGAGCCCTCCCTCGTCTGCAGCGTCTATAGCGCCGTGTGTGTGTGTGTGTGTGTGTGCGCATGTGTGTGGCGCCGCGCGTTTCGGCCGACAGATAGCGATAAAATAGCCGTGCATCCCGGCGCCGCGGGCCATAGAGAGAACAACAAGACATATCGCCAGAGCAACAGCCCGGCGGCCACTGCCTCTCTCCAGCAGAAGCAGCGGTTGTAGTAGTGGTAGTATAGCAGTAGAAGATGTAGTTGCAGTAGCAGCAACGCGACCCTGGCAGTCAAACCACCAACCAGACCAAAAGCAATACAACTTGCCACCAAGTCAAATTCGGAACGCCTCCGAGAGAGGGTGGGGAGGGAGAGAACCAGCACTAGGGGAGGTTTCGGTCACGTACCCTAAGGAGCCTTCCTCACCCCTCCTCTCGCAACCCACCCCCAGCCAACGCACCTCGGCCGCCGCCGCCACCCTCTGCCCCACTTGGTCTGCACACACCCCACCCCCTGGCACCGCCGCCTTCTGCTCAAAAACTTTTGCGAAGAGTTGCGGCCGCCGTCGCGTCAGGCCGTCCCGCCTCGAGCTCCGTCCTCCGCACACCGCCTTGCGGCCAAAACCATGTACAAAAAAATAAATAAAATTACCAACACGATCATTATTTGCAATGGGTTGGTAAACACGATCATTGCTATTTAAAACAATGGAAAGATGGGAAAAATTAAAAGATGAAACGCGACATAACCCAAGTTTTATATGGTTGGGACACCAAGAAAATGGATGGGTGGTTGGATGGGTGGTTGGATGGGTGGTTGGATGGGTGGTTGGATGGGTGGTTGGATGGGTGGTTAGATGGGTGGGTGGTTGGATGGATGGGTGGTTGGATGGATGGGTGGTTGGATGGATGGGTGGTTGGATGGATGGGTGGTTGGATGGATGGGTGGTTGGATGGATGGGTGGTTGGATGGGTGGGTGGTTGGATGGGTGATTGGATTAGATAGGTGGTTGGATTGGATGGGGGTGAGTAGTTCGATGGGTGGTTGTGGTTGGATGGGTGGTTATATGGCTGGATGGATGGATTTGATTGTTTCTCCAGCAGGTCTAATTAATAACACGACGTGGAAATTAATGGCTGCCAATGAGGTGAAAAAGTAAATGGTGATTAGAATAGCAGCGACAGAAGTGCATCGCAGAGGAAGCAGGAAAGTGCATCGGAAGAAGTGAGATGGTAGAAGGGGGAGAGGAGGGGGAGCAACGAGAGCGCGCGCGAGAGAAGGGAGAAAACACGGAGTGGTTCGCAGAGTCAATGTCGCGCCATGAAAGAGGGAGTGAGAAGGGGAGAGGCCTCGCGTGGCGAAATCTGTTCGGCACTTGGCCGTCGCAATCTCAGACACGGCACTTTATTTCACCCCTAGTCGCCCCCTTCCCCCTCCCCTTCTCCGCACGACTAGTCCCGTCGTGTCGTCTGGTAAACGATGCGTGCAGCGATAGAGCCGCACAGCCGCACACACAACGACGGGTTTTTCTGTTCGATTCTGAAAGTTGAATGAAAAAAGTACGAAATGGAAAACAGAGAACAGTGAACTTTTTGCACCGGAGTTCAAAAACCAACAGTCCTGGCGCATAATTCAGAATTCCACCCAAAATAATACGAAGTGGCGTGCGAAAACATGCTTCGTAGAATGTACTCTTCTCATGATTAAAGATACTCCGAAAATTTGAGTGCAGGACTGTTCTGCAATTGCAAGTGACAAACTAAAACGTTCTGCAGTTGCAACTGCACCGAGAATATAACTGCAGAGTGATTACATTAGTGCGTAGTGTCAGCCTGGAGCATATGCACACATCCATCCTATCAAACTTCACCTCGGCTTACTTTGCCCCTTGCAGACGCTCAATACTCACCCCATTACGCCCCATTGAGCGTCTTGCTTCTCTCACATTCTGCCACATCGTTAATCATGACAGCAATTATGCCTCCGCTATTTACAGCTCCCCTCCCCCTCCACCCCAGCAACCAGTGCCTTTCACGCAGCTGGATACATACGTCATGATACACGTCGGATATCCTGTCGGCGTAAATTACTTGGACCAAAGAAAGTCTGTCGATATATAAACGGGTACAACTACGATTTAAAACACGCAAAAACAAACTGTCTTAAATACCGCGATTTCAATTAAATATCGTATGTAACGAAACGAAGAGAAAGTCAATGAAACTATAAACGTTCGATATCTATGAGGTTACATTAATTTTTTATGGTCAAAAATCACAGCAACCTGCACAATCCAGGAACATTTATAAGTAGCAAAATCAAAGTTTGTTACAAAGTTCAAATTTCCTGACTTCCCATGACTTTTCCCAGACCAAATGGGAAGGTTTCGTATGACATTTATCCCCCAAAATTCTGTTGAGTTTACATCATTTTGAGGCCTGGTTGAACCACTCATTTTAGAGTATAGGCGCGTGACAGCTGACCCACGCTGGCGATTTCACAATTTCCTAATTTTCCATGACACAACCATCGATTTCCCAATAGCTAATCTCTGACTTCCGGGTTTTTCATAACATAACATCCCTGAAAATCCTGGCACGTTACCCTTATACAGGGAGGGTGTTCCGCGCCGTGGTTTTTTTCTGCTTATACTGTACCGCATTCATGCGTGCGGACGGGTTGCATACTCGCACGGGGCCGTAAGGCGCCATGGCGAGTGACGATAGGCAAGCCCGCCCGCACGCATGAATCCGGTACAGCATAAGCAGATAAAAACCACGGCGCGGATCACCCACCCTGTACGCAGGCACTAAGGAGTAAAATGACAAAATAATCATTGGGAGACATTATCAAAATTGCCTTACCAGTCTTTAACGCGGTTTCAATGTAAACTCTTGCAAGCGCCTGCGCCCTTATTTGATCATGAACAAGTATTCTGCTTCCTTCCTGCTTTTCCTCTTACTTTGTTCGTGGCGCACCCAATATGGCACCACAGAGGGCGGGCAGAGCAAAAGAAGAGCACAAGGAGAAGAGAAGCAGCAAAAAGGGATGGACAGAGATACAGAGAAGAGGGTGAGTGAGTGAGAAGTTGGGAATTACTTGGGATCTGCTTCGACTTGGGTGTGGGAATTACTTTGGCTGGCAATAAAATGGCAAAGCTTGGGGGCTTTGGAAGAAAGTGCACGGCGGTAAAGGGGTCAAAGTAAGGACGGGAATAGGATAGAGGAGAATCAAGCAGAGTAGACGCTACAAAGGAGAAAGGGGTCTCGGAGAGGATATAGAAAGAAAGAGATAACACTGCAAAACCAACAGTGTATTAAGTATATAGACATGTAAAGAGGCACTAAGGCGATAGTACATACTTGTTTGTGTTGATACGTCAAGTAAAATGTTTGGATCGCAGTAAATGTAAGAGGATTCATTGTACAATAACCTAGCCACTTTCGATATCAAAATTTTGGCAAATATTCGCCGAATCAAAGTTCCTACCAACTTACGCCGGCGTACAGCATATATTTTCAGACGT